CTGTCCATAACGTTGCTCATGCTATTAAAATTTATTAAATTTTTTATAAAATATATCATTCAATATTCAAATTCGTGAATTGTAAATTTAAAGCTAAACAAATAAATCCATAAATAAATCAACCGCTAAATTTTTGTTTTTCTCTCTTCTTGCATCTTCTTTATTGCCGATCGCATTGTATATACAATAAGGTAGGTTATGTGATAACAAATTTTGCATATCGAGTTTTCGGTGGGAACGCACTTCTCCATGGTGGCATGGTAGGGAAGTGTAAATAAACTATTTCTAGCAACCTGTCTCAAGTTTGGCTGAAGCGATTTTCATGAAATTTTTTCATTTTCATGATTGATCATCTTTCGAGATATATCAGGCTTTGGGACTAGCCTTTTTTGCGGACCAATTTTAAATTTTTGCCCATATAAAGAGAAATAATCAATCAAATTTCTTCAAATTTAATATTTAAATTTGGAGTGTTAAAACAATGAACTTACAACTTGGGACTTTCAGGGCTTGGAAACAACCTAGGGGCCGAATTTACTTTTTTTACCATATCTACGGAGCTAATTGATGGAATTTATCAATACTTGATATTTGAGTTCTGGTTGTCACCGAAACTAACTGACGAGCATTTCAGGAAATTCGGATGGCGTAAAGCGAAACTCTACTAAGATCGAAATTTACATTTTGTAAATAAAATTTTACATATGGGCAGAAATGTAAAATTGACCCGCAAAAAGCTCAGCTCAATATATTCCTGACGACCAATATTTTCTTTAATGCAATGAATATAAAATACACTCTACTATGAAAGAGCTCCCCATTTTTTTCCCCCTTCATGCTTGACTATATTTTTTGTTTACTTTGGATGAAAATCTGTATTTGGAGGCCTTTGAACGTAGTTTCTACCATCAGATCCTATAGAGTTTATCTTTGTTTCGCCCGTTCACAAGATGTTTCAACCTAAATGTTCTTTTGCAAACTTTAAATCTTCTTTTAACGCTTATGTAACTTAAAAGTTGAACTTTCTTATAATCTCCTTTTGCAATGCCTGTGTTCGTATGTAAATTTAATTCAGTTTATTTCATTTTGCCTCTTGTTTTTCTTTCCATTCATCGCTCATCTGGTTAGATTTAGGTTTTAACACACTTTAAACCATATGCCTTGTACGTTTGACAGCTTTCACAATTTCTCGTTAAGATTCACCTTCTTTTCAGAATGATAATATCTCTACACTGTATTCGCTCTTCTAACGTACAGTGAGCAGCTTTTTACATTTTGATTCGGCTTCTTTTATCTTGATAAATTGATATAAATATCTGGATTCCATATACGCAAGTAGTTATTCTAGGCCGAAGTTGGACCAAATTTTTGCGGTTTTATGTTTTGTCTCACTCTAACCAATGTAATTTTGTATGCTTTGTCCTTGTCTAGGTACGTGACTAAAATATGGGGGTACGTGACATGAATACTAATGAGGCTTTTAATTGCGGTTTTGTGGTTTAGCTAATTAGCCTAAAGTACGTTTAGCTAATTAGCATAAAAGCAAGCTAATTAGCATAAAGTAAATAGCTAATTTGCATAAAGTAAGTTAAGCTAATTTGCATAAAGTAAGTTTAGCTAATTTGCATAAAGTAAGTTCATAAAGTAAGTTTAAGTATTTAGCATAAGGGGTGAAAAGAATGTATGTATGTATGTAATTGAATTGTTAAATCGTATGAAAGCGTGTACGATCAGTAGGTGGGTTAATTAGCATAAATCACGAAAATCATATGGAAAGTATATGTTCTAGTATGATATCATAATTCAATAATAAAATAATAAAAACAACAAGAATGAAACAAAAATATTAAGAAGGAATGTTTGTGGTTAAGTTAGTAGTATGAAAAAATAAAATCAAATTGTTAAACTATATGAAAGTAAGTTCGATTAGTAGGTAGGTTAATTAGCATAAATCGCGAAAATCATATGGTGAGTTAAAAACAACAAGAACGAAAATATTGAAAAAAGATAATGTTTGGGAATTAGGTATAAACACAAATTTATATGTATGTATGTGCATATTAGTTTATGAATGAAAAGTTTTTGAATAAATCAAAGATCGTTTAATGAATGAAATATGAAAAAGTAACAACAACAAAACAATAATAAAAATCTGATGTGGTCAGCACATAACCGACCGCATTGTGTATTGTCCAGTTACATGAAAGTGTTACAGAATATTATAAAAATGTCTGTTAAATACTTCTTTCCAATTTTTAGGACATTAGTAAGCTTATAGTTAACATACTTAGAAAAATGAAAATTTGGCTCTTAGTAGAGTTTCGCTTTGTGCTACCCGAATTCCCTGAAATGCTCGCCAGTTAGTTTGGGTAACAACCAGAACTCAAATATGAAATTTCAAGAAATTCCATCAATTTGTTCTGTGGATATGGTGAAAAATGTAAAATCGGCCCGCAAATCAGTTCTCGAGCCCTGATCTTTCCAAAAAAGTTATATGTTCATTGCTTTAATATGAGGAATTCATATATTAAATTTCAATGAAATCGGTTGATTATTTCTCTTTATATACACAAAAGTGTATGTTTGGCCCGTAGTAAACGTCTAGTTGCCGATGCCTGATCTTTCCAAAAAATTTACATGTTCATTGTTTTAATACGGGGAATTTATATATTAAATTTCAATGAAATCGGTTGGTTATTTCTGTTTATATACACAAAAATGTATATTTGGCCCGTAGTAAACGCCCAGTTGCTGATACCTGATTTCTTCCAAAAGTTAAGAATTTTTGCGTATGATCGAGCAAAGCTTATATATGAAATTTCAAGTAAATCGGTTGAATACTTTCTTCAAAATGGTGAAAAAAGTAAAATCGGCCCGCAAATCCGTTTTCGAGCCCTGATCTTTCCAAAAAATTTATATGTTCATTTTTTTGATAAGGGGAGTTCATATATCAAATTTCAATGAAATCGGTTGATTATTTCTCTTTATATACACAAAAATGTATATTTGGCCCGTAGTAAACGTCTAGTTGCCGATGCCTGATTTCTTCCAAAACATACGAATTTTTGCGGACGGTTGAGCTGAGCTTATATATAAAGTTTCAAGTAAATCGGTTGAATACTTTCTTCAAAATGTTCAAAAATGTAAAACAGGCCCGCTAAAAAGTGCAGTTCCCGAGGCCTGATATATACCAAAAGTTGATCGATCCGTGCCATGGTGGAAACAAACTTACATATAAAATTTCATCAAAATCGGTTCAGCCGAACTTGAGATACACGCGTGCACACACAGACCGACAGACGGACAGACCGACAGACCGACAGACCGACAGACCGACAGACCGACAGGTTGCTAAAAATAGTTTATTTACACTTCCCTACTATGGAGAAGTACGTTCCCACCGAAAACTCGATATGCAAAATTTGTTGCCATCACATAACCTACCTATTGTTTACACAATACGGTCGGTAAAAATTATATAATTCGTACTGAGCTTGATCAATAATTATATTGGTGTGTAAACATTTTTTTCACAATACATCGTTCATAATAATTTTATGAATGAAAATTTTTGTATAAATTAAAATCAGAGAGCAGAAACAATATGTATATGTATTTATATATATAGCATGTGAAATATAAATTAGAAATCAGTATTTATGAATGAAATGATCATATATATTAATCATAAAATTCAGTATACATTTAATTATTTTTCTGATTTACATAATGACTATTGATAAATTTGGACGCTATAAGACAAATGTAACACATAAAATTCAGCATCCAACAGATTCTTCTTCTTCTGTTAGTTTCCCATTAACTGCTGATGGAAATTATGATCTTGCGAATAAACAAATAACAAATGTGGGCATACCTATTAATCCAACAGATGTTGCAATTAAAAGTTATGTTGATAATGTGTTAGATACCAAGGATTGGAATACATTGAACTCATTATTAGATTTTAAATCCAAAACAATTGAAGAAATCAACAAACAGTTGGATGATGCAAATAAAATTAATAAAGATTATATTCAAATAGCAATTGGCAAATTAGAGGATAGAATTAAAATTTTTATTGAAGATGAGATTCAAACCCGAAATAACTTTTTATGGAATAGTATAGAAGGTGAAATACAAAATCAATTAATTTTTTTCAATACACAATCTGCAAAAATTCTTGAAAATTTTGAACTTCGAATAAAACTTTTGGAAACTGGAAATTAAAATAGTGAGAACAATAAATAAGCAATTAAAAAATAAATTTATATATATTAACAATGGGTGTGGATAAGTTTGGACGTGTTAGTAAGTCAACGAAAGCACAAAAAGGAGATCGTGGACCACCTGGAGAAGGTTTTCGTTTAACATCAGATGGTGACTATGACATAAATTTACCAACTCCAGCAGAATTAATTGGCAAGCATGCTATTATAAATGTTCAAAATAAGAACGATGCTTGCTTTGCTTGGGCTATTATGTCAGCATTATATCCTCAAAAATATCATTCATCTCTACCCACTAGTTATCCCGATTATAAAGAAAAGTTAAATTTACAAAATTTAACATTTCCAATATCATTGAAGCAAATACCTATATTTGAAAAAAACAACAATTTATCCATTAATGTATATTGTTTTCACAACCCAAAAAATGATAACAACTACATTAATTATTATGAATTTGATGAAGATGATGTTAATACAAACAAAAGAAGAAAGGTGTTACCATTAAGAATATCCAAATATATTCACGAAGATCGCAGACATATCAATTTGCTTCTACTGGAAGAGATACAGGAGGATGATAATGATAACAATGAAAATGATAAAGTTGTTATTCAGCAACATTATGTATACATAAAGGATTTGTCTTAACTTTTAAGTAGTTCCATCAATTCTAATGGACATAAAAAACACTTTTGCAACAGATGTCTTCACTACTTTAAAAGTAAAGAAAAATTGATGAAACATTCAGAAAACTGCTATAATCAAAATATGGGTAATATTGTTTTACCAGATAATAAAAATAGTATACTTAGCTTTAAGAATTATAAAAATAAGTTAATAGTACCATTTGTAATATATGCAGATATAGAATGCATATTAGAACCCATTGGCAATGAAAATAGGGAAAATAGTGAAATTAATAATAGTTGTTATCAGGAACATATACCATGTTCCATTGGCTTTTATATGAAAACATCTTTTCCATCGAGTTATAATGTTTATAATAGCTATCGAGGGGAAGATTGTATTAATTGGTTTATGAATGAATTAGATCTGATAGCAACTTTAATATCATCTGATATTGTATCACCCGTCAAAATGAATTTGACGAGTGATGATCATTTTAATTTCATTCAAGCCCGTACTTGTCACATTTGTGAACAAGAGTTTGTTAATGATGATAAAAATAATTATAAAGTCAGAGATCACTGTCACTTTACTGGACAGTACAGAGGGGCTGCACATAATATGTGCAATTTGAGATATGTGGATGATTTGTGTATACCAATAATTTTTCATAATTTATCGTCCTATGATTCTCACTTTCTGATAAAAGAAATTGTTGATCTTTCTAATAGAATATCTGTAGTACCAAAAAACAAAGAAAAATATACGGCATTTACGGTATTAGTCAACAATTGTAAAATAAAATATAAGTTCATAGACTCTTTCAAATTTTTAAACAGTAGTTTAGAACATTTAACTTCTATTTCTAGTAATTTTCCAATTTTTGAAAGAGAATTTAAAAATTATGAACACAAAAATTTAGACTTATTAAAACGTAAGAGCGTCTATCCTTACGATTATATAAGTAATTTTGATAAGTTTTTCGAGGAAAAGTTACCCGAAAAACATTGCTTTTATAATAAATTAAATAAAAGCAACATAAGTGACAACGATTATCTTCATGCCCAGAATGTATGGAGAGAATTTGAAATAAGAAACTTGGGTGATTATTCTGATCTTTATTTAAAAACAGATGTTCTACTTTTAGCTGATATTTTTGAGAATTTTAGAGTTAGTTCTTTAAATGCTCATAAACTAGACCCCGCTCACTATATAACAATTCCCTCCTATACGTGGGATGCGATGCTGAAATTTACAAATGTCAAATTAGAATTATTGACTGATATTGATATGTTACTATTTATTGAGCGGGGTATTAGAGGTGGCTTGACACAAGTTAGTAAAAGACATTCAATCGCAAATAATCCATATTTACCTGAATATGATTCATCTGTTCCTAATAAATACTTAATGTATTGGGATATCAATAATCAATATGGTTATGCAATGTCTCAATTTTTACCAACAGGCAATTTTAAATGGGTAAAAGATATTAAGATTTTTACGGAAAATTTCATTACTTCAATTCAAGATGACTCACCTACAGGTTACTTTTTTGAAGTAGATTTACAATATCCTAAAGAACTACATGATCTACATTCAGATATTCCATTCTGTTGTCAGTCCATGACAATAAATAATTCTAATCAAAAGAAATTAGTTGCTACCCTATATGACAAAGAAAAATATGTAATTCATTATAGAGCATTAAAGCAAGCATTATTATTTGGTTTAAAATTAAAGCATATACACGCTGTCCTTGAATTCAGTCAATCAGATTTTAATACAAAATTACGAGCTGCATCAACTAATGATTTTGATAGTTCACGTTTTAAACTATATAATAATGGTTGTTATGGAAAATCAATGGAGAATACAAGAAAATATGCTCGAGTAAAACTAGCAACACAATGGGGAGGGCGTTATGGTGCTAAATCATTAATAGCATCACCATATTTTAAAAATTGCACAATCTTCAACGAAAATTTGATAGCGGTTGAATTGAATAATGCCGAAATATACTGCAATAAACCAATTTTCGTTGGAGCAGCAATTTTAGATATTTCAAAAACATTAATTTATGACTTTCATTATAATTACATGAAACCTAAATTTAATAGTAATTGTAACTTACTATATACTGACACAGATAGTTTAATATATGAAATATACTGTGATGACATATATAATCATATAAAAAATGATTGCATCATGCGACTTGATACAAGTGATTATCCAAAAAATGATATTTGGAATATACCATATGTTAATAAAAAAGTATTAGGAATGATGAAAGATGAACTCAATGGTAAGCTAATGAGTGAATTTGTTGGTTTAAGAGCCAAAATGTATAGTTTGAAGGTAGAACATAAAGAAAAAACCAAAAAAATAAAGGGTGTCAAAAGAGACATATAGTCAAAAAAGAAATATGTTTTGATGATTTTTTAAATTCTTTAAATAATAATGTAGACAAATTTGTACAACAGAATTTAATAAAATCTGAAAAACATAATGTTAAGACTATCACCCAATCAAAATTGGCGTTGAATGCATCAGATGATAAGTGATATATTTTATTAAATTCACATGAAACTTTGCCATGGGGTCACTATAGAATTAATAATACATTATTCTAATTATTTTGTAATTTTGTATATTAAATATATTATTTGATAAGAGTAATAAAAACAAATGAATAAAAAATAATGAATAAAAATTTTTTTTAAATCATTATAGGTACCTTATCTGAAAAAAAGTAAATAAAAAACAAAATACATATATTTTCATATTGTGTGCTTTTTATTATTTAAACAAAATGCATATACATAACACTTATTTAGAATGTTCATGTAGTTGTTTTACAAAACTGTATATTAAGAAAACATTTCTAACGCAATAAGTAAACTCATTATTGTAACTAGCAAAATCTTTTCTAAGCTGTTTTAGATTCGGACATCCATAGTTTTCAGTATTAAATACATGTATGACATCAAACAAATCGGACATCCATTTTGACTTTTCCAAACCTTTTACATAAATTTTTTTATTAATCAACCTTTCTTTTAGATAATCTTGTACTTTAATGAAAGAACAGCCTTTTTGATTCCAGTTTATTCCATGTAAATTATTTGTCAACCAATTTGCTTGTCGTCTGGAAGTTTCTGACAATAAATTTTTTTTATAAGGCTGCTTTATTATAAAATGATCATATACTCCATCTTCCCATAAAACACACACTTCTTTCAAAATGAGTTTATTTTGGGAATCTTTGAAACCTTGAACATCAATAATTACATAATTATTCATATTTCTTGATTTTAATTAATTTTTCGAACTTCACTGGTCAATGGGTTGTATTGTACTACTCTATCATGAATAAGTAAACAGTATGCTGAGGTAGAAGCTGGAACATTTATAGATGTTTTGAATTCCAATCGTACATCAACCGCTCCCGATTTGAGTGACTCATTTTGATGTGTACAATCTACAACTACAATCGGACCTATTTTGCTTTTAAAATGATCACGTGATATAACTGGAGTATTTTCAATAGCTTGGTAATATGATGTTTGAAAATTAGCATACATATGATAAAGAATAGAATATTTATCTTTATCAAATGATATATTTAAATTTTCATATGGATTTGTTTCTGCATTTAAATGAACCTTGAAATCTATTAAGTTACAATGATCATATTGAGAAATATTTTTCCCTTTTCTATTTTCTCTATCCGTTTGTAATACAAAAACTATATAACGTGGTTTTTCTAACTGAGATGATGTTTTCACAGACCATATATGATGTGTAGTTTCTGCTAATTTTGGATACTCATATATTTCCCAACTACGAAAACTTATTGATAAGGGTCTGGCATTATCAACAATCTTTAATAATGGTAATTTATTTTCATCGGATGTGATGATGTGAGGTACAATCCATGTTATTTTGAATATGTTTATTAATGGTTTTTCAGTTTCGTCAGTAACAAGATAAACATTTTCATCTGTTCTCGAAAGAACTAAAACCAATTCATGCTTGCAATTAACAAGAATTTTCTTATAATCTTCTGCAAAACCAAGTAAAAATTTAAGTGGTATACAAAAATCGAAGAAGCCTGTTGGTGTTATGAAAGTTTCTGAGGGTCACCACCCAGCATTTTTTAGCATATCATTCTTGTTGTTAGATAATGAAATATAATTTTTCAATGTAGCAGTATGCCCCAGTTTTTTAGTTGAATCGATTTCAATTCCATTCAAAAGGTAACGAATTTCTTCAAAAAGATGACAGACACCATTGTTTACAAATTTTATTTTATCGCTTTTTTTACCTGTAAATTTTGTTAGCGATCCTTCAATATGTAAATAACTTTCGCTAGGCAGTACATTCAAATTCTGATGTTGTATGATGTGTAGTTTCTGCTAATTTTGGATACTCATATATTTCCCAACTACGAAAACTTATTGATAAGGGTCTGGCATTATCAACAATCTTTAATAATGGTAATTTATTTTCATCGGATGTGATGATGTGAGGTACAATCCATGTTATTTTGAATATGTTTATTAATGGTTTTTCAGTTTCGTCAGTAACAAGATAAACATTTTCATCTGTTCTCGAAAGAACTAAAACCAATTCATGCTTGCAATTAACAAGAATTTTCTTATAATCTTCTGCAAAACCAAGTAAAAATTTAAGTGGTATACAAAAATCGAAGAAGCCTGTTGGTGTTATGAAAGTTTCTGAGGGTCACCACCCAGCATTTTTTAGCATATCATTCTTGTTGTTAGATAATGAAATATAATTTTTCAATGTAGCAGTATGCCCCAGTTTTTTAGTTGAATCGATTTCAATTCCATTCAAAAGGTAACGAATTTCTTCAAAAAGATGACAGACACCATTGTTTACAAATTTTATTTTATCGCTTTTTTTACCTGTAAATTTTGTTAGCGATCCTTCAATATGTAAATAACTTTCGCTAGGCAGTACATTCAAATTCTGATGTTGTATTGATATATTTATAATATCATTATTATTGAATGAATTTAAAAATGGTGAGTATGAATGGTATTCACATTTTGATATGCTATTATCAAACTGTGGAGTAGATTTAATATTGAGTATAGGATTCATTTTTTTAATTTAAAACCTAATTTTTTCAAAAATATTTTATTTTCAACAGATAAATTTTTAGAGTTATTATATATCTTTTTGGTTAATGAAGAAGATGATAAAGATGATACTCCTTTTTGATTTTGCTTTGTTGTTGTTGTTATTTCAGCCGTTGTTCTATTGTTAATAACATTTTCCTGTGGAGCACTTGTATTATATATTATCATTGTGTTAATTTTTTTAAATGTAGTCGAAGTGTTATTTTTTCGTCTCTAAAATTTATTAGTTCACCGTCCTGATCAATTAGTTTAACTATTAGAGTACTTAACTCACGAACATTAACTGGTAAATAGATTACATTCTTTGGCACCTCAATTATTTTATAACCTGGACCAACTTCAGGTGAAAATTCATGTATGGTATGAGCTTTGTTGTTATTTATCATACATAATCACCCTTTAATTCGATTGGTGGAAAATAATTAGCTCTAAGAATAGATGAATTACCATTTAAGGTTAATGTTGTTGACATGATTGTTGTTCTTAAAATGATAAATTTACATTATGTATTGCAGTTATTAATTAAAAATATTAAACATAAATGACCACAAATTACGGTATTATAATCTTGATGTGATTCATAATTATATTCTATGTTATTTCCCAAATAATTAATTACTTCAATTGGAGGTTTAAGATTTCCAAAACTATCATAGTATTTAATAATGTTTTCTTTTTTACAATAAGCTACCCAATGTGTACCAGCACCAGAAAATCTATCCAAATTAATAATTCCACGTTCATTTTTCCATGGTTTTGTTTTTGGTAATTTGTCTCGCATAAAGACTCCTCTAAAAAATGGTATATTTCTGGCATATTTATATAAGTCATATTCATTTAGTGCACGATTAGGTAAACTTTTTAAAAATTTTGTTGTTTATTTAAATATAAACCCAGTCCTTTCTTGTATGGTTTTAAGTACATTCCATTTCCAACAGCAATATCTTCAATGTTTTTATTATGTCTTTTAGATTTTTCCAATTGTTGTTTAGCAGCTTTTGCAGCACTTATTGATTTAGCAATTTGAGCAGCACCGCCAGATAAAGCACCAACTGCTGAAAGCCCGGCAAATAATGGTACCAAAAAAGGTAATATGCCACCAATTTTCGGAACAGATATTACACGCGGTATTTTCAATAATGTAGATGGATTCACAATTTTCTTAGCAGCAATTAAAGCTGTATCTATAACACTTTTGGTATTTTTATTTTTATGTTTTTTTAATGATTTCTTAATGGAACTCATTACTTTTTTAAAATGCATACATTTCGTTTTTTTCTTTTTCTTAACAGTTTTTGATTTTTTCATAGCTCCAGCAACTAAAAGTGCATTTGTTTTCTCTCCAAAAGATGTGTCTTTAGACCTTACTCGATCACAAGCTTTTTGCATTAATATTTTATCAGCATTGTGTCTGTCTTTTATATCTTTTGTCTTTGAATATACAATGTCATGATCTTTGCATGCTGAGTCTAACATGTTAATACCTGGATCACCCCTTTCTAATCGTTTTTGTAATTTCGTGCCTGGACCACAATACTGATAACCAGGCAAATGAAGTTCAACAGGTAAGTTATTAATTAGTGAATTAATGAGACCAGCACCAGTCATCTTTTTGGATTTACCTTTCTTTCCCATATTTTAATGAAAACTATACTATATAACATAAATACAAAGGTATATATATTTCATAGTTTTAAAATATGCATTTCGTGAAACATGTTAAATCTTTGCCAATTAATAATTTTGACAAAGAAATCAAGAAAAATAACTCATCAATGAGAAAACATAGTGAACTTCTACCTAATACCATAAGATGTTTAATTGTAGAACCCTCAAATTGTGGAAAGACAAACGTGATGATAACACTTTTATTACATGAAAATGGTTTAAAATATGAAAACATTTATGTTTATTCAAAGTCATTGAATCAACCAATATATCAATATCTAAAAATATTAATGAAACCCATAAAAGGTATTGGATACTATACATTTTCTGATAATGAAGAAGTAATATTACCAAATAAATCTAAAAAAAATTCAATATTTATATTTGATGACATAGCATGTGAAAAACAAAATAATGTTAGAGCATTTTTTAGTATGGGACGACATCATAAAATTGATAGTTTTTGTTTAAGTCAATCATATTCACAAATTCCTAAACATTTAGTGCGCGACAATGCAAACTTTTTAATAATATTCAAACAAGATGAAACAAATTTAAAACATATATATGATGATCATGTTAATACAGATATGACTTTTCAAAAATTTCAACAAATCTGTTCACATTGTTGGGAAGATAATTATGGTTTCTTAACATTAGATAAAGATAGTGGGATTGATGGTGGTAGGTATAGAAAAAATATATATTGTTTTATAAAAAATATAAAT